GCTTGTATTATAGAAAGCATATGGTCTTTCCTCAAGAAGGTTCCATGTGTACTTAAAAAGAATGTATATTGGCCAGGCGTGGTGGCTCACGCCTGTAATCCTAACACTCTGGGAGGCTGAGGCGGGCTGAGGCGAACTCTCGAGGCCGGGAGTTCGAAACCAGCCTGAGCGAGACCCCGTCTCTACTAAAAATAGAAAGAAATTAATTGACAACTAAAATATAAATACAAAAAATTACCAGGCGTGGTGGCACATGCCTGTAGTCCCAGCTACTCGGGAGGCTGAGGCAGTAGGATGGCTTGAGCCCAGGAGATTGAGGTTGCTGTGAGCTAGGCTGAAGCCACAGCACTCTAGCCTGGGCAACAGAGTGAGACTGTCTCAAAAAAAAAAAAAAAAGAATGTATATTGTGCTGTTTTTGGATGGAGCTTTCTATAAATGTCTGTTAGGTCTAGTTCATTTTTATTGTTATTCAAGGTTTCTATTTCCTTATTGATCTCTTTGTCTGAGTTTTTGCTTCGTGTATTATGAGGCTATGTTACTGTGAGCACAGCCCAAGGGCCATTCAGACTATAACGCCGGGCTGGCTAAGGGGAAACCATTTTGCTTCCAGTATGCCTTTGGCTTGTTCTGTCTTAAAAATTTAAAACTAACCTGCAGCTTGTTTACACAGCTGCTGGGCACAAGACTGGAAAATAATCTCCAAAATAGGGCACCCACAGACTGCTGATAATAAGATCCATCAGATGACCTATTATTTGGTAATAACCATAGAGCAAGTCATTATTACTTGTACAGTGCTTGCTTTCTGTCGTCAACCACCTTTACCCCCGCCCTTTATAAGTTGCTCAGTAAGCAGAGGTGAGGAGATGGTCTTTGAGACAACAGTCTGCCACCTCCTCAGGCTGCTGGCACTTGAATAAAACTACCTTCCCTTTACCAACATTCACCTCTTATGTTTGGTTCTCAGGTGGCAGGCAGCTAAACCTGCTTTAAGCAACATTATTACGTATATATATATATATTTGTAACTATTATATATTACTGATGAATTGATCTTCTTATCTTTATAAAATTCCCTTTATATCTTTAGTAACATTTTTTTGTTTCAAAGTCTACACTGTCTGACATTAATATAGCCACTCCAGCTTTTTATGGCTGCTCTTTCCATGATATATCTTTTCCATTCATTTACTTTTAACATATTTGGGGTTTTTTTTGTTTTTTGGATTTTTTTTTTTGAGACAGAGTCTTGCTCTGCTGCCCAGGCTAGAGTGGTGTGGCATCAGCCTAGCTCACAGCAACCTCAAACCACTGGGCTCAAGCCATCCTCCTGCCTCAGCCTCCCAAGTAGCTAGGACTACAGGCATGCATCACTATGCCCGGCTAATTTTTTCTATATATTTTTAGTTGCCCAATTAATTTCTTTCTATTTTTAGCAGAGATAGGGTCTCGCTCTTGCTTAGGCTGGTTTGGAACTCCTGACCTGGAACAATTCGCCTGCCTCGGGCCTCCCAGAGTGCTAGGATTACAGGTGTGAGCCACCATGCCCAGCAGGAATCTTATTTTTATCTAGTCTAAAATTTCAATGAGTTATTCTTACCCATATGGCTAAAATATGAAAAAACTGATATCAATTATGATAATAAAATAAATCCAAAGTCCTCTCATTGCTGATAATGGTTATGTAAATTGTTATATTAATAACCACTTTAGAAAAGTGTTTTGACATTATTCACTAAAGGTGAAGGAAGATATGTACACATTCATGCCCTAAAAATTCATTTACATAGACACAGCATTTACATGTACACCAAGAGATGCATTATTCCCAATAGCCAAAAACTGGAAATAACCCAAATATATATGGACAGAATAGATAAATAAACTGTGGCAAAATCATATAGTGAATAGAAAAGAGCAATGAAACTATAAGCAAATTAACTGACACAACATGGGTATATTTCACAATGTTAAGCAAAGGAAATCTGACACAAAAGATATACACTGTATGATTCAATTTATATAGGTCAAAAATATTTAGGCAAAACTAAAGTATGTTGTTGAGGAATAAACAGAGAAATTATAAAAGTAGAAAGAAAATGTGATATAAAATATCACAGTGTTCTAGTTATTGATCCAGGTAGTGTTACACAGATGTTTGTTCCACACTATCTCACTGAATGGTACATTTTTGTTTTGTTCACCTTTCTAAATGTGTTGACAAAATAAAAAGTTTTAAAACATAAATCAATTATGCCTTGCCTTTCATTCCAATATATGGTAGACACTTAATTTTCCCTCAAATAATCAATTATTATTTTTTATTCCTTGAATTTTTTTCTTCCCCATAGTCTTCATCTCATTTCTACACACATAATCTTTTCTTACCTCAATCAGATTCTGTAAAATCCAGGCTAATCTCAAAGAAGTATGTTGGGTTGTAAAAGAGAACAAACTGTATGCAAAAAGTCGTTTACTTCTAGTGAAAAAGTGAAGCACTCGGCAGGAACTATGAAATAGCTATTTAAAAAAAAGATATTGTCAGAAAATGTATTTAATGATGCTTGATGTTTCCATATCCATTCTATTCACATGCAAACAAATTCAATAACAAACAGGTCTTTTAACTACTTATAAAAGTGTTCTCAGCACTTAAGGAAATCAAACAGAGCAATATTATCCTAAATGGACAATCTATATTCAAACATATGAAATACAGCACATTTACCTTGAATTCCTTTAGCAAATACCAGAGTCTTGGGTACTTACATATATATTTTTTCAAGCAACTATTCTCTACCTCTATACCCATTCTAAACTATGGAAGAATGAAGCAAAAGGAGACAATTAGGGAGGAGGCTGTATTTGCAGTACTCTTATTTCACTAGGATATATACCCTTACATTTTATTGTAGGCCTCTCAGATAAGTCTATACTATTTAGCAGTAGCGTAGCATTCATTCATTGCAATTCAAATAGTAACATCATGTACATAAAACTGTCAGCTAATCTTTGATTTTGAAGGCTCATATTCCAAATATTTTCACATTATTTATAATACTATATCTCAGCTTCGAATTGTCTCTATGAATCAAAATCTTGAGAAAACACAATCTCAGTAAAGAATGAGCTCTTATTCTTTCATATTAGAAATCAAGCTAGTACTAACTCAGCAGGAAATATCCCAATACATTAAGTACTTAAAATTTGGGATATATTATTTTATTTAATACTATCTATACTTATCTAATCATCAAAGAAAAAACATATCATATAGTTTCAGATTTATTTCATAATAAGCAAAACCTTTACTTTAAAAAAGCCTTAAGTACACAGAAAACAAGCTTTGAGTTTTAAGGTTTGTAAGATATACTGAAAAAAACAAAAACTTTATCCTGCCACATATTATAGGACATAGACAGACAATCACATAAAACTGATTAACAAAACATTCACTTACAGAGAATTTACCCACTTGTTGAACTTACCCACTTTTGTTAAACCCTATCTCATCCCCAAAATAAATTTAAACATTTTGGTTTATTTGTGAAAAATAGTAATATAAATTTCTGTTTCTTTCATTTTTATTATAGTTGACAACACATTAATCAAGAAAATCTGTGTACTCAGTTATCTCTATATTTCAGTCTTGTCCTTTTCACTTCCTTTTCAACCTGTTCAGTGTTCATGTCTTTGCATTTCTTTATATTTTACATGGCATTTATATGTATATTTTAAATGATTTATTAAAATATAAGTCTAGGGCCAGGCGTGGTGGATCGTTTGAGCTCAGGATTTCAAGAACAGCCTGAGCAAGAGCGAGACCCCATCTCTACTAAAAAAAATATGCATATATAATACGGAGAGAGAGACTATAGTGCGGACTTTGAGTGCCGGCTGTGGGCAAGGTTTCGTGGCCGGTGAGCCGTACCGAAGTGGTTAATATTGCTATGAAGGAAATAAAGGACAATGTAAGAGATGGGGAGGGGTTCTTTTAAATAGGATGGTAGGGAAGGGTTCCTAGAGGTGACACATGAGCTGGATCCTAAAGGATGAGGGTCCTTTTCTGCTAAAAGGAACCCAAACTTTCATCATATACACGTTCAATATTAAGTAGATAAAGTGCTTTAGATGCTCAGTTTTGTGCTCGAGGTCACATTTCAGCATCAGGATTTGAGATTTAGGGCTTATACTATGAAGGAAATATTTTCATAATCACATTTATTTCCAAAGGAATAAAAGTTTTAAAAACTTCAATGTCTAACTTAAGGAATGTCTGCTGAACTATTAAAAATTTTTAATTATACATTAAGGTATAAAATTACACATTATAAATTCTATAATTTAAGATTATGCAGGCTGGGCACAGTGGCTCATGCCTGTAATCCTAGCACTTTGGGAGGCCATGGTGACAGGACTGCTTGAGACCAAGAGCTTAAAACCAGCCTGAGCAACATAGTGAGAGCCCATCTCTACAAAAAAACTAGAAAAATTAGCCAGGTGTGATGGCGTACACCTGCAGTCCCAGCTACTTGGGAGGCTGAGGCAGGAGGATGGCTCGAGTCCAGGAGTTTGAGGTTCCTGTTAGCTATGATGACGCCACTAAACTAGCCCAGGCAACAGACTCTGTCTCCAAAAAAAAAAAAAAAAAGATTATACTATTCAAAAAAAACTCATGATATTTCCTTATAACCACTTTTAACACTCTTAATTACTGTGTCCTTCCTATAAACTGTACCTCTCAATATTCAGCTTCACAAGTTATTGCAGTAAGGTCCATTTTTATATATTAAACTAATAAAAAAAAAAAAAGAAAAAGCAATTCAAGTGAGATTACGGCAAAATTGTTGCATTCATGCAATGTTGTCATATTCTATAATACATTTATGTTTGTTTCCATATAAAATTAATGTCTTCGAACACTTATCAAGTAAAACTGAGGCTCCAGACACGCTGCTGGGGACCATCTAGTGCACTAGATGTGCACTAGCTAGTGCACCAGTACACTAGCTCAGAAGGCATTTAACAATGAAGCATTAGAAGTATTAAAATAATTAATATAGAATATTGATTACGACATCAAATATAGGTCTGACCACATTTGAGGAGCTGGCAAATTGTCCTACCCTTTGGCTCAGTAATCTCACACTCGGGAGTGAGGGAGATTTAAATAACAGAAGAGCAGCTCATGTTGATGCTGCTGTGGCCACTGTCATCGCCAACATCACTATCAATTACTAATAGCCACTACGTGCCAGGTACAATGTTAAGCACTTGTGGCAGTCTGCTAATTATCTATCTCAATATCCATTCTCCACTTTTAAAACAAAAGATGATGAAATTTGGACATTTCATTCTATCTACTCTGTATTGTTTCCATTTCTCACGGGCAGAAACACGAATTCTCACTAACATGTAAAACCTTGGTCCACCCCAAACCTCCTGAGGACTTCCTAAGCTACAAATACTTAAGTCTACCACATATGCTTTTGGATAAATAATAAATAAGTTTAACTTATTAGTAAATTTCACTGGTGTGGGAGTGTGTGTGCATATGTGTATTCTCTTCTTAATGTCCTAAAATAATACAATTAAGTCTACAGTTAAGGGACATTTACAGGAAAAAAACAATAATATCCAAACCACAGATGATAAGAAAAAGATTACCTTCATTAGAAGAGAACTATTCCAAGATTTTACAAGTTCAGCAGCTCTTAGGTCTTGCCAACTAATAAAGTTGTGAAAATGATTTCCTGTTTTCCTAAGAAAGATGGAAACAGTATATTAAGACTTGATATAAATCATACTATATTAAAGATCTGCCACCACAGAAACAAAATTAGAGGCCAAATTGTAATATCAAAGTATTATTTAATTAGATGGGCCTTTCCGAATGACTTCTTCTCTTTGATTTTATAAATTGAACATACTCTGTATAATAATTATGACGTGAGAGAAAGTATGAAATTTTAGATGAGATTCTATCTAAAAAGATATTCTTTTTGAAATGCTACAACGTATATGATTCCAAAAGCAAAGTAATGAAAAGTCCTTTGAAGATTTGCTCTACACAGGTTAAAAGATTAAAAAAGGCAATGCTGGCCAGGCGTAGTGGCTCACACCTGTAATCCTAGCACTCTGGGAGGCCGAGGCTGGAGGATCGCTCAAGGTCAGGAGTTCGAAAAAGGCAATGCTTTTCCACTATATTGTACTTATCTTTATAGACACAATCAGATAAAAAGCTCTGACCTACAGAAGAGCTGAAATACTGCCTGAGTCTATTTCTACACCTCTCAACTTTAGGATTGGCTTAGCCATTTGGCAACCTAAAATCAAAATGCTTACCAAAATTTCCCCAATAAACAAAAATTCAACAAACCCTGGGTCAATGCTACAATAAAAGTACAGAGCTAAGAAATATAGAAAAAAAATTTTTTTTCTTTTGAGACTCCTACAAATCAACTACTGGCATGTAATAATCTTCAATATCCAATTCAGGCTTACTTTCTAACCTACCTCCAGGGCTCCTCCTATGTGAATTAACCATTCCCAAAGCTGCCACTCCCCACTCTATTTAAGCAGTCTCCATGCATTGTTACACCCTCACCTTTACACATTCTACCTCTGAAAATTTAACACTCTAATATATCAGTCAGCACATCTTGCTATTATTTCATTTCTCTCAATCTTACTCTTTAAGTGCTTCTCCTTCAAACTACTACAACCTTTAATCCATTGAGCATTCCCTTTTCTTCCTACCAACCCCTCCTAGGTATGCTTACTTTCCCAGATCCCATGGTCTTATCGCTTTAACGAACAACTTGCCATCACACTCTCTGACCCCTGACTTTTTCTTTCTTAAAAACTTGTGGCAAAGTAGGCCAGCCATAGTAGCTTACAATTCTAATCCCAGCACTTTGGGAGGCTGAAGTGGGACGATCACTTAAGGCCAGGAGTTCAAGACCAGCCTGCACAACATAAGAAGTTGTCTCTACAAAAAAAAAAAAAAAAAATTAGCCCAGTGTGGTGGCCACACCTATAGTCCCAAGTACTCAGGAGGCTGAGGCACTTCAGCCCAAGAGTTGGAAGCTATAGTGAGCTATGACCATACCACTGCACTCCAGCCCGGGTGACAGAGTGAGACAGGGTCTCAAAAAAAAACAAAAAAAATTGTGACAAAGTATACATAACATAAAGTTTGTCATCTTAAGTATACAATTCAGTAGCATTCACAACATTCACAATGTTGTATAACAATCACCACTGTTTTTAAAATTCTCTCATTACCCCCAACAGAAGCTCTGTAACAATTAAGAAATAACTTTCCATTCCCTCTTCACCCCATCCCTGGTAACTTCTATTCTACTTTCTGTCTCTATGAATTTGCCTATTCTAGTTGTATCATACATAAGTAGAATCATACAGTATTTGTCCTTTTATATTTGGCTTGTACCACTTAGTATATAATGTTTTTTTAGATTTATCCATGTTGTAGCATGTATTAGAACTTTACTCTTTTTATGGCTGAATAATATTCCATTGTATTTACATACTACATTTTGTTTATCCATGTATATGCTGATGCACACTTGGCTACTGTGAATACTGCTGCTATAAAACACTGGTGTACAAATATCTGTTTGACTCCTTGTTTTCAATTTATTTAGGTATATACTTAGGAATAGAATTGCTGGGTCACATGATAATTCTATGTTTAAACTTTGAGGAACTACCAAACTGATTTCCACAGAGTTGCACCATTTTACTTTCCCACCAGCAATGTATGAGCGTTCCAGTTTTTCCACATCCTCACCAACCTTGGTATCTTCTGCTTTTTTACTATTGGTATTCTAGTGGGTGTGAAGTGCTATCTCACTGGGGTTTTAATTTGTATTTCTCTGATGACTAATCATATTGAGCATCTTTTCATGTGCTTACTGACTATTTATATATTATTCAAGTCCGTTTTCTATTTATGAATTGAGTTGTTTGTTGTTGAATTGTAGGAATTCTTCATATATTCTGGATAATAACCCCTTATAAGACATTAGATGCACAAATATTTTCTACCATTCTGTGAGTTGTCTTTTCACTTCCTTTAATAGTGTCCTTTTTTCCCATTTTTCACCTTTATTAATGGGAATAATAGCATTCACCTACATCACGAGCATGTTACATCTTCCTTTCAAAATCTAAACAGTCATGATTATCATTAATACAAATCAGATAAGTGATTCTCCTATTGTTTTAGTCATAAATTTAAATGAAATTATAAACCAAACTTACCAAGACAGATACCTTCCATATTACATGCTGCACTTGGTTTTCAGAAGTCTAACAGATTTGATATCAATGACTATACATTTTTTCAGACATTTAAAAAAACACAAATTTCATACTCTGTCAAAATAATGTTAAAATGGTTTTATTTCATATTATTTATGATTAAACTTAGCATAATTTTTCTACTTTGGAGAGTCCCAACAGTTAAGAAACTTAAGAAAAAATTAGATATCATAAATAGATAAAAACAGGCCAGGCGTGGTGGCTCACACCTGTGCACTCTGGGAGGCCAAGGCGGGCAGATCGTTTGAGCTCAGGAATTTGAGACCAGCCTGAGTAAGAGCAAGATCCCCTCTCTACCAAAAATAGAAAAAATTAGCCGGGCATAGTGGCAGATGCCTATAATCCCAGCTACTTGGGAGGCTGAGGCAGAAGGATCACTTGAGCCCGGGAGTTTGAGGTTGCTGTGAGCTAGACTAATGTCATGGCACTCTAGCCGGGGCAACAGAGTGAGACTCTGTCTCAAAAAAAAAGATGCAAACATAGTGTCCTTTGATCCACAAAAGTTTAAAATTTTGATGAAGTCCAATTTATCTAGTTTTTCTTTTGTTGGCTTTGGCTTTTGTTTTTGTTTTCTTGTTTTTTAATTTTTTGTTTTTGAGACAAAGTCTCGCTGTCATCCAGCCTAGAGTGTAGTAGCATCATCATAACTCACTGCAACTTCGAACTCCTGGGCTCAAGCAATCCTCCTGCCTCAGCCTCCAGAGTAGCTGGGACTACAGGCTCATGTCACCACATCTAGCTAATTTTTCTATTTTTTGTAGAGACAGGGTCTCATTCTTGCTCAGGCTGGTCTCAAACTCTGACCTGAGGTGATCCTTCCACCTCAGCCTCCCAGAGTGCTAGGATTACAGATGTGAGCCACCATGCCTAGCCTTGGCTGTGTTTTTAATGTCATTTGAGGAATCACAGCCAAATCCACAGTTGTGAAGATTTTCCCATTTTCTTCTAAGAGTTTTTTAGTTGTAGCTTTTAAATTTATACCTTTGATCCATTTTTTGTATATGGTATCAGATAAGGGTCCAACTACATTATTTTGCATATAAAAATCCAGTGTTTCCAGCACCATTTGTTGAAAAGGCTATTCTTTCTCTATTGACTAGTCTTGGCACCCTTGTGAAAAATTAGATTGTGTTTGATGAAAATGAAATCTATTGATATATATAATTCCTTGGAGCCATTCTACAATAGCACATATTTATACATTTAAATCTAATTTTCAATCATTGCTTTCAGCAATATTCATAAAGCTATTTGTGCCAGGAACTGAGAACATAGCTACGAACAGAGACACATGGCACCTTTGCCCACGTAAATATACTTTCTGGGCTGGGCGAGGTGGTTCACGCCTATAATCCTAGCACTTTGGGAGGACAAAGTGACAAGACTGCTTGACACCAGAAGCTTAAGACCAGCCTGAGCAACATAGTGAGAGCCCATTTCTAACACAAAGATAGAAAAATTAGCTGGGTGTGGTGGTGCACACTTGTAGTCCCAGCTACTTAGGAGATTCAGGCAGGAGGATCACTTGAGCCCAGGAGTTTGAGGTTGCTATGAGCTACGATCAGGCCACTGCACTCTACCCAGGGCAAGAGAGTGAGACTCTGTTTCAAAAAAAAAGGAAAAAAAAATATATATATAGATAGATAGATACTTTCTGCCAGGGAATTCAAACAACTCATCAATTATTCAATTGTTTACTTGCAATAGGAATAAGTTCTACAAAGGAGAAATACAGGATGTCATGAGTGTATTTAACAGGGAGCCCCTGTCTGAAGCTCAGGAAGGGCTTTTTTGAGATGTGACAATGGAATTGAGCTCTGAAGGATGAATAGGAATAAGGAGAGCAAACATTCCTGACAAAATGTGTTATACATTCAAAGGTCTTATGGCAGGATGAACCATGGTATGTCAGAAGGACTGAAAGGCTAGTGTGACTGAAGAGCAAAGAGAGGGGTAAAATCACAAGAGGACAGTGGCCTCATTAATTCATAACACAGTACAAGACAATCTAATCTCAAAGAACGCTGATCTCAAGTAGTGGCATATATGTCAGTATTCACTTAGCATTGATTTGGGTTTATTTTATCTCTATTAACAATAAAAGGACAAATGACGAAGCATAAATGATAACATTGTGAATAAATTATCTTAACGCCCTCTAATACTTTATACCATTCTGTTGCTCTTAATATATTTTGCCATAAGTAATTGGTAGGAACCACCAACATAAGTAACAAATACCACAATAAAAAATATACTTGGTGCCATGGGAACACAGTGATTTATATACCTGTATAATGAGACTGGAAATTCCCTGAGGGCTAGTATTCTCACTCATCTTCATATTCGGTTCAGCAACCAGCACAGTACATTATTCGCTGTGAACTCTCAAACAGTTGTAACTGAGTGAACCTGGGTTCCTGTGACTCATAGTTTATGTTGCTAATTGGCACACACTCTGATCTGAGGTTAACTGGCAGAAGTCCCTGAGAGACACAGTAACTGAAGAAAACAAAACAGCTTATGATTTTTTAGAACAAAGGGAATTTAAAAGAACAAAAAATGGAGGAGATGCCATTTAGAGTTCTTTTAGAAAGCAGGCTAAACACACCACCAATTAAATATACTGGAAAAAGTTAACCTCTAAGAATAAGAAGAAAACTTAAGGGCTGAGAAAAGTTAATAAGTTTTCTGGTCCTGGTTTGTTGGGAGCAGAGGTACAGGTGGGGACAAAGAAAGAAAAACAAAAAGATAGTTCAAAGTTTTAGCCTTCCTGACTAAAGAAATGATGTGACAGAAATGCACCATGGACTCAAGAGGAAAAAAACAATGTGTAGGGAGGAGGAGGTGCTGACTGGGACTAGAATGAACAATACATTGCTACCCAGAGTCCAGTCTGTTTCTCTTTTTCCCTCACAAAGGAGCAGGAAGTACTTCCAGCTGGCCCAGAGCTGTGCCTCCTGTGTTGTGTCCCAGCTGTTTTTCAGGGTGCTTGGTGTAGAATCTGCCAGCATTATATAGACACCAAAGTGGCTCAACTGGGGCCCAATGAGCAAAAAAAGGCTCCATTATTTTAAGATAAAAGAAGCAAAAAGTCTTATATGTTTTCTTGAAAAATACCCAGTATTTCAGTTTCTACAAGCAAGGAATGCTTCCAAAATTCATGAAAGGATACAAACAATTTCAAAAAAGAAAAACAGGCAGCCAAGAAACTAAACTCACAGTTAATTGTTTGAGGAAGAAATCTTATCCCTGTATACCACGAGCAATACCAGTAAGGGAAGGGAACTGTCTTAGAATCTAACTTCTATTCCTTCTAAAAATGAGGTATGGTCCTCATGTCACACAGTAATTTTGCTTCCTAATATTTTTACTTTCTTGTCACGAATGATATAGTAGCCAGGTCTTGATGAAAGCAATCTCTGGAGCCAATGACCTAATCTCCAAATCCAATCAAACGTGACACATCCAATCAGTTCTTCCCTGAGAACACTCTCCTACCTTCTCTTCCACATCATCCACTTCCCAGATTCACCTTGGTCCTGTTTTGTTACCTTTTTCTTCTTTGACTCCCTTTATTTTTATTTATTTTTTGTAGAGATGGAGTCTTGCTATGTTGCCCAGGCTGGCCTGACTCCCTTTAGATTTGTAGAGGAAAAACCCATAGTCCAAATCTTCAGCTTGTATCTCTTCTCTCTGCATAATGTTGTGTACCAGAAAACATACCTATTTCTTAAGATTTCAATACCAATGGTCCTCAGTTTGGGGTTATTTTGACCCCAGAGGACATTTGGCAAGGTCTGGAGACATTTGTGGGAGTGGGGAGGGGGGGTGCTACTGACATCTCATGAGTAGAGACCAGGAATGCTGCTAACATCTACAATGCCACAAAAGAAAGAATTATCTGGCCGAAAATGTCAAGAATGCCATCGATTAGATACCCTGATCTACACAGATAACTTTAATTCATTCATTCCTTTATCTGACAAATATATTACTATTTAAGATTTGCCATACCCAAGGCACTGGGGGGTAGGTACAGGCAAACTGCAGATGCATGCCTCAATCTGAGATGCATCATGCCCTGAAAAAGAGTATGTATCTGAAGGAGACAGGCTGTGCCTCAGTCTAAATTAGACCAATGTTCCAGCCACTTCTGGGATATTGCCACATTCATGTGTCCAAAAACAAACATTTTCTCATCTTTCTTTCTTCCTACTCCCACCACCACCCAACTCATTCCACCTTATATTCTCTATAATTTCTATCATATACCCCAAATATCAAGGAATATTGGTAAATTCAAACTTCTTCCTCTGGCTTAATACTGAATTAGAAGCCAAATCCTTGTGAATACATCCTGATTGTATTTCTCAGATTCATCCCCACTCCTTCTGCCCACTTTTCTTTCCCATTCCCTAAGCTCAAAATGTCCTTTGGAGCCCAGTGCTTAGTAACAAAGACACATTTTACAGCATTGTTTTTTTCAAAAGCCAGAAACACACGCTGAAGGCAATTTGGGAGTAGTGCAAAGAACATATGCCTCAGAATCAAAAAGATAATTTGGAATCTTGGCTCTATTTTCTGAGTGACCTTCAACAACTTATTTATCTGAGCTTCAGTTTCTTTCTCTGTAAAAACAGAAATGATGCCTAAATAATAGATTTGTTGTAAGGATAATGTAACTTGGGAGTGTCACAAGTATTCACTATATGGTATTTATTATGCCATTATAATCGTATTTAATCTATATATGCCTCATACGCTGTAGATAAATATTAAATTTGGAGGAAACTGCAAATAAAAACCATAAGCATAGCATTATGTTTCTGAAACTTATTAAGTTCCCCTGACTCTTTTTCGGTATAAGCTAATATTTTAGATTTTCAATCAATGCTTATTTGAAAAGTTAACTTACCCAAAAGAAAGGAATGGAGAATTTAACAATAGCAATAGTCTTTTTATCATTATTATTATTGTATATAAGTCAAGCCCAGACAGACTTGCAGATAACGTATAAACCAGAAAGTAGGTCCATTTTCATCCTTTAACCAAGCAAAACTGTTCTCAGTTCACAAATTTAAAACTCCCCAAACCGTATTCACAGCAGTATATTGACTGTGGCATGAGCCCATCCGTGTAGAGTGCTTATCACACAATGTGCTTACTTGTTCCACGTAATAAAAGTAGCTCTCTGTGTTGAAATGCCAAGACCAACAATTTGGTTCATCTGTATTCCTGCCCCTAAAATTAAACATAGGTAAAAACACATGTTTAAAGCTAGTGAAGTTTTTCTTTACAATATTTCAATATGAAAAAGAAAATATTCAATACAATCTTTAACAAAAATATATGGGTTTAGCATTCTAAATAAAGCAATTAGACCTAATAAATAAAGCATTATTAAGATGATTCTGTATTATTTTTTTACTTAAAGGTAAAAATGGTCATATCCTAATTTTAAAAATGGCCCTTTTTGCTTTAAATGTTAGAAAAAAGCAAATACTATTCAAAGTAAGTCAGATTGTATTTCTTCTTGATAATAAGGACTGGATATTAATTTAAGCAATCATCAATCATAATAGTAGCTAGTTGATGGCAATAAAGGAAAACCCTTAGGAAAAGTAGTATAATTATTAAAGTTGAGACCTTATATTCAATACAAATTGATGTCAGGACACAAATAAAAACCTGGATTTTTTTAAGCCCAATTTTCTTAAAATATAGGAACTTGAGTGTTTTTTGTGATATTCTTTTAAAATCAATTTATCCCACTGGAAAAATTTGGGATAACTTCAATTTAAGCACTGAGGAAAACATATCACCCACTATGTATTATAGTATTCCTTTCAAAAATATTTAACTTGAATCTGTCATGAGGAAACAGTCACACGACCCCAAAATGAGGGAGAATCTACTAAACTGGGTTTTACTTTTGAAAACTGTCAATGTTATGAAGAACATGCTCTAGATGAAAGAAGCCTAAATAGACTGATGGCTAAACGCAATGCCTCATCTTTGGCTGGATTCTAGATTGAAAAAAGAAGTTGCTTTTTCTGCTAAGAGGGAATATTGATGACAGAGCATTAGAAATTAATACTGTGCTGTGGTACATGATACAATCAGTGAGTGGGTCATAAAAAAAAAAGAAAGAAAGAAATTAGTACTGTGTTAATGTTAAATTTCCTGAATATGATAATTACATTATGGTTATGGATGAAAATACTCCATTTCTTGGAGATACTGCTGCAGTAGTTAGGGGTGACAGGTTACTATGGCACAACTAACCCTCAAATGGTTCAGAAAAGAAAAATAGGCCCAGTGTGGTGGCTCACGTCTGTAATCCTAGCACTCTGGGAGGCTGAGGTAGGAGGATTGCTTGAGCTCAGGAGTTCAAGACCAGCCTGAACAAGAGCGAGACCTCATCTCTACTAAAAATAGAAAAATTAGCTGTGCTTGGTGGTGTGTGCCTATAGTCCCAGCTGCTCAGGAGGCTGAAGGAGGAGGCTAGCTTTAGCCTAGGAGTTTAAGGTTGCAGTGAGTTATGATGACGCCATGGCACTCTACCCAGGGTGACAAGATTGAGACTCTGTCTCAAAAAAAAAAAAAAGTTTGTAGAAAATAATAAACATTGCAAAATATATCTGGAATCTAGAAGAAGGATATACAGGAGTTCACTGTACTATTCTTGCAACTTTTTAAATATGTTTTGAAATATTTGAAAACAAAAAGAAGCAATTTAGCCAGAAAAAAATGAAGTAAAAGACTTAGGATTCACATTTACAAGTCATCTTTCACCATGTTCTTAAAGAAGACTGTATTGAAAATGTGTTTAAAGAACTAAGATTTTATTAGACCATGGCTGTGGCCAGGAGAGTACTTTGTATCAAGTGGCAAACAGAAAACATAAATAAATAAATACATAAATACAAAAAAAAAAACAAAACAAAAAAAACTCTTACTTTACAATAAAGGTAACTCAACTGTAAATTCATAAGAGTAGGAACTATATACAGTAACTCTGTTTATAACCTCTGGTGTTTTGCACCCAACAAGAAATCAAATCAGCACCAGCTATAACCTAGAATAAAGGAGGGTGAGCATTTATATTACAGCTGAAAACAGACAAACCAGAGGACATAATTGCTATTACCTTTCCTTAACAAAGTTGTTCACCATAAACCACAAATTTCCCTTGAAAAATACTGGGAAATTGTGACCCCAATAAAAAATTTTATGTATAATTCTAACTTATGAAAACCAAAACTACAGAAGTCTGAGGAAAACTCTTAATATGAACAAAATATACTGTAAAGACTATTGTTATTTTTATAAATCCAATTACCTTTGACAGCTTCTTTTATTACAGTAACAAACTGAAGCCAAAGAACATCAGGATCAATTTCAACCCAGCCAGCTTGAGGGTAAAGATTTTCTACCTATTGAGAAAAAGAGAAGATTTAGTAAAAACATTAGATCAAGTCAATAGTATCTGGGTCTTAAGACTACTGTTAAAACAACTAAAAACATGATTTCATTTATTATCTAATTTTTATTGTTAAATTTTTAAAAATACATATATGAAATGAAAAAGGATTATGTATCAACACCAAAATAGCAGTAATTCACGAGCTCACAGAAGATTTTAGCTTCCCTTTTCCAAGTTTTCTACAATGAAGATGTGTATTTGTAATAAAAAAGTCAGACTTTTACAAAATTAAAAAATAAATTTAGGGCCGGGCGTGGTGGCTCACGCCTGTAATCCTAGCACTCTGGGAAGCCGAGGCGGGCGGATTGGTCGAGGTCGGAAGTTTGAAACCAGCATGAGCGAGACCCGTCTCTATAAAATAGAAGAAATAATTGCCACAATATATACAGAAAAATTAGCTGGGCATGGTGGTGCATGCCTATAGTCCCAAGCTACTTGGGAGGCTGAGCAGGAGGATCACTTGAGCCAGGAGTTTGAGGTTGCTGTGAGCTAGGCTGACGCCACGGAACTCACTCTAGCCAGGGCAACAAAGTGAGACTCTGTCTCAAAAAATAAAATAAAATTATTAATTAATTAATTTAAAAAAAACTGACTTCCAGTTCAGACTATGATGGAATAAGCACATTTCACTCCACCCTGCCTTTCCTACTGAATACAAATATAAAAACTGGATAGAATGGACGGAGCTGCTACTTGTACATTCTAGTATATGAGGCCAGGCGTAGTAGTTCATGCCTGTAATCCTGAATTTTAGGAGGCCGAGGCAGGAAGATGCCCTGAGACCAGCCTGGGCAACATACTGAGCCCCTGTCTCTTAAAAATAGCTGGGCGTGGTGGTGCATGCCTGTAGTCCTAAGCTACTTAGAAAGCCGAGGCAGGAGGACTGCTTGAGCCCGAGAGCTCAAGGTTGCAGTGAGTGATGATTGTCACTGCCCTCCGGTCTGGGTGACAGAGACTGACCCTAGTCTATGGCAGCAGGTGGACTGGGGAAGTAGGAAAGAATTCAAGTACCACTGAACTGGTGCTAAGTTGCCCACTTTTCTTCTGACATCCCCTAGCGTAGACTCAAGGCATCCTGAACACCAGGACTGAGAACCAGAGCACAAAGGAAGCTCCAGGACAAGCTCTGTTGTTTTGGCTTAGAACAGGAAAAGGAACTCCTAACACTCAGAGGGAATAGGAAAGATCATCCATGTTTCTTATTTTTCCCCTCTTGTCTCCATACTTGTGCACACAGGCTATCGCCCAGTGGTGGCTACAGCACAGTACCAGTGGTGTCGGTGGGCTCCGACAAGCACCCAAAATGCTGAGAGAAGTAAAACTTCCTCCCCAGTCAGAGGAGCTGTGGTTCCCAGAGGCTGAAGCCAACACCATAGCTTGTTTTCTCTCTTTGTGCTCCTGCTGCCTGTCCCCAATATGCCCAGCAGAACGGAGTAACAAACGCACCAGCTTTCTGGCCAGGACCAAAATGGGAGGCTCAGGGAATCAGACAGTATCAGGAAATTTTCAGAAAGGGAGGAGCTTGGGAAAGATACCACAGAAAGTTGTATATGAACTCTTAGTCTCACCCCAAAACTGCACCTGTGTGAATGCAATCCTAAACAGCATACCAAAGATGTTAGGAACAGAACTAAGGGATAGATTTCTACCCAGGTCCCAGACTGACCACCACTGGGTTGAACAAACACACAGGGCAGATCTGAATCTTAGTACTGCCAAGATTTTGAAAACAGAATGGAACCGAAACCACAGTCTACAGAAGGCTAACTCTATAGCTGAACCAAACTGCAATAATTACCTGCTAAAAGAAAAATATCCACATTCTTCATAGGATTTATATAAGACTCAGAGTCTTTTAATATAACATTCAAAATGTGCAGGATATAACCCCAAACTACAAGGTACATGAAGAACTAGAAAAATCTTAACTCACATTAGAAAAGATAACCAATATATATCAATGCCAAGAGGACAGGGATATCTGATAAAGACTTTAAAGCAGCTATTATAAAAATACTCCAAGAAGAGTGAATACTTGAAATAAAAGATAAAAAGTCTCAGCAAACGTAACTGTAGTAATCATTTCACTATATATGTATATCAAGGTAACTACAACAAAATATGTTGTACACTTTAAATATATACAATTTAAAAAACGACTGGGAGGCTAAGGTGGGAGGATCACTTGAGGCCAGGAGCTTGAGACCAGCTTGAGCAATACAGTGTGAACCTGTCTCTACAAAAATATTTAAAAATTATCTGGTATGGTGTAGCACACCTGTCGTCTTAGCAGGCTGAGGTAGGAGGATGGCTTGAACTTAGAAGTTTGAAGTTACAGTGAGCTATGATCACACCACTGTACTCTAGCCCTGGTGACAGAGTGAGACAGAAAGAAAGAAAAAAAAAGAGAAGGAAAAAAGGAAGGAAGGGAAGGGAGGCAGGAAAGGAGGAAAAGAGCAAGAAAGGAAGGGAGGGAGGAAAGGAGGAAGGAGAAAAAGAAGAAAGAGAGGAAGGAAGGGAGGGAGTGAGGGAGGGAGGAAAGAAAGGCAGTAAAGAGGCCAGGGAACAGTGCCCCAAACCTGTAATCCTAGCACTCTGGGAGGCCAAGGCAGGTAAATTGCTCAAGGTCAGGAGTGTGAAACCAGCCTGAGCAAGAGCGGAAACCCATCTCTACTAAAATATAGAAAGAAAATTTTAGAATTTAAAAATATAGTGATCAAAATAGAAAGAAAAAGAAAAAAACAAAGGAAGGAAGGAAAGAAAGAAAGACAATAAAGAAAATCTTAGCAAAAAAAGAAAAGACATAAAAAAATTTTAGAATTTAAAAATATAGTGATCAAAATTTAAAACTTACTGGATAGGCTCAATAGCAGAACAGAGATAGAAGAAAATCAATAAACTTAAAGATAAATCAACAGAAATTATCTAATCTGAACTACAGAAAAAAAAAGATTGGAAAAAAATGGGACATGTGGGAGAATAGCAAAAGGTATAATATTTGTATAATCAAAATCTCCAAAGAAGAAAATAAGGAGTCCAGTGCAGAACAAAATTACCTAAGGGAAGTAATAGTGCTAAAAGCTTCCCAAGTTCAGTGAAAGACTTAAAAATCTATATATTTGAGAAGCTTAGAAAATCCCCACCAGAATAAATCCAAAGCAGTACATGTTCAGATATACCGTAACTAAAATACTAAAAGCTAAAAACAAAGAAAAAAGTTTGAAAGCAGTCAGACATACTACATACACCGAACAATGATTCAAATGACTGTGGGTTTCTCATGAAGGCTAGAAAGAAACAGCTCAACATTTTTAATGTGCTAAAAAAAGAACTGTCATCCCAGAAATCTATATAAAATCCCAGTAGGACTTTTTGTACATATAGACAAGATTATTCTAAAATTTATAGAATAAAGCAAAAGAAGTAAATAGCCAAAACAATATTGAAAAAGAATAAAGTTAGAGGGGAAAAAAAGAATAAAGTTAGAGAAATCACACTACCAAATTTCAAACTTAGTGTAAAGCTACAGTATTCAAAATAGTGTGCTACTGGCATAAAAACAGACAAATAGATAAGTGGAACAGAATAAACAGTCCAGAAATAGACCCACACAAACATAACTAATTGATTTTCAACAAAAGTACAAACGCAATTCAATGGAGAAAAGATAGCTTTTTCAATAAACGGTTTTGGAACAATTGTATATTCATATGGCAAAAAAATCAACTTCAATATAACCTTCATAACTTATATAAAAATTAACTCAAAATTGATCAAAATCTAAATATAAAACTATAAAACATTTAGAAGAAAACACAGGAGAGAAATCCTTGTGAACTGGAGTTATGCAAAAAGTTCTCAGAACACCAAAAGTACAATACATACAACAAAAAATTGATAAACTAGACTTAAAGTCAAAAACATTTGCTCTGTGAAAGATATTGTTAAAAAAATGGAAAGATAGGCCTGGCGCAGTGGCTCACGCCTGTAATCCTAGCACTCTAAGAGGCAGAGGCAGGAGGACTGCTTGATCTCAGGAGTTAGAGACCAGCCTGAGCAAGAGCGAGACCCCGTCTCTACTAAAAAAATAGAAAGAAATTAGCTTGACAACTAAAAGTATATATATATAAAAAAAATTAGCGGAGCATGGTGGCACGTGTCTATAGTCCCAGCAACTCGGGAGGCTTAGGTAGGAGGATCACTTGAACCCAGGAGTTAGAGGTTGCTGTGAGCTAGGCTGACGCCAAGACACTCACTCTAGCCTGGGCAACAAAGCAAGACTCTGTCTCAAAAAAAAAAAAAAATGGAAAGACAAAGTATAACATATCCAATGCAGGACATTTCCAGAATATATAAAGATATCTCAAAACTCAGCAGTAAGAAAACACCCCATTTAAAAATGGGTAAAAGACTTCAAGCATTTTACCATAGAAAATATATGGATGGCAAATATGTCCATGAAGATATTCAACATCATTACCCTTTAGGAAAATTCAAATCAAAATTGAAAACTCATTGTAGATAAGTAATAAAATAAAAAATACGAATAATACTGAGTACTAAAGAGGATTCAGGCCGGGCGCGGTGGCTCACGCCTGTAATCCTAGCTCTTGGGAGGCTGAGGCGGGCGGATTGCTCAAGGTCAGGAGTTCAAAACCAGCCTGAGCAAGAGCAAGACCCCGTCTCTACTATAAATAGAAAGAAATTAATTGGCCAACTCATATATATATAAAAAATTAGCCAGGCATGATGGCACATGCCTGTAATCCCAGCTATTCGGGAGGCTGAGGCAGAAGGATTGCTCGAGCCCAGGAGTTTGAGGTTGCTGTGAGCTAGGCTGACGCCACGGCGCTCTCTCTAGCCTGGACAACAAAGCGAAACTCTGTCTCAAAAAATAAATAAATAAAATAAATAAAATAAAGAGGATTCAGAACAATTGGAACTCTGATACATTGCTGGTAAGAATGCAAAATGGTACAGCCACTCTAAAAATGTTTGGCAATTTCTTGTTAGGGTAAACACTCACTTACCATACAACCTAGCATTCTCACTCCTAGGTATCTACCCTAGAGAAATGAAAACTTACATTTCCATTAAAATCTGTACACAAATGTTTATAGCAGCTTATTTATAATCACTAGAACCCGGTGGTATCACTCGGTAGAGCATTTGAATGCATAATCACCAGAAACTGGAAACAACTTAAATGTACTTGAACAGGTGAATAAATGTGATGCATTCATATAATGGATTACTACTCAGAAACAAAAGGAATGAACTATTAGTATACATGAATTCAAAGGCATTAGGTTGAAAAAAAGCCTGTCTCTAAAGGCTACTTACTATATGATTCTACTTATATGACATTCTCAAAAAGACAAAGCTCTATCATGGGGAACAGATCAGTGGTTACCGGAGGTTAGGTGTGGGGAGAAGATGTGACTACAAAAAGGTGGCACAAGGGAATTTTATAGGTTACTGCTATACATGCACTAAAATTCATGAAACTATACACCAAAAAAAGTCAATTTTACTTTATGTTAACTTTAAAAACGAAATAAATGTTTTAAAAATCTATGGCTTCAATTTAAAATGATGGCTTTAACACGTGGGTGTATCTCCAATTCCTCTTAAGACTTCATTAAAAGAAAAACATTAAAAAGGTTTAAATGCACAAGGACAAGGAGAAGAGAAAAACAAACATGATCAGACTAGATTTTAACAAATGTTTTCAATATGAATAGTGAGTAGGCAGGTAGTACATGGCTTAGCACAGAGGAGAAAATTCCCATATCTCAACTCCCTGCTCAGATTTACACCACACCTCTGCTCAACCCCTGGCCCCCATTTCACTCGGAGTAAACCATTATTCTTCCTTATAATGTCTGTAAAACCGAAGTTGGATCACCTTTACCCTTACTCCTCAGAATGTGAGCTCCTAGAGAGCAGGGAATGTGTCTCTTTTATTTATTTTTTCCCCAGTATCTAGGTTATTCCATAAATATAAGGCGAACATATGAATGAACATAGGAACAAACTATTAGAGTAATGCCCATAAGCAGAGAGAAGAGATTCTAGGGTGGAACTCTGGAAATTAGAGGCACCTCTGAAGCCTGGGATGCCAGATGGAGCTGCACATTGGATCTCCAATTTCCCTCCCCCAGCTAGACCACTGCCCCTCCCTCACCTGGCAGAAAATAAGAGGTTTACTCTCAGGCATGGTTGAACCAGAGTTCTGCACTTGCAAATACCAGATATAGCTAAGTGCTAGGGTAAGTCATGGTACTCAAAAAAATGAACAGATAACCAACCAAGATCACCATTTAAGGAAAAATCTCTAACATATAAGAGAAGGCCAGGCTGGTCCGATGGTAGTGGGTTATCAGAACTTATTAACATTAGTGTCACTAAAGTTGGTATTCAACCCTTCACTGCTAAATTTGACTGGCTTTTTAAAAAAAATTAAGGCCAAAGTAAAGAATAAAGGAAATCTGAGAAAACAGTGACAATGTGAGGAGCATAAGGGTGACACAAGATCATGTGGAAAAAGAATGTTACTCCCCAGTGAGCTCATAAGAAACAAACAGATTTAACAAATCTATTCCCTTTCCACCAATTAATATTTCTGCCCTTCCTATGCAAGACTTTTATGACTACATAGCATAATGGCTCAACCACAACAAATACTTGTTCACTGCAAAAAACTCAATGTGGACATCACTGCTTTAAGACTTGACCATGGGGCTGGGTGCAGTGGCTCAAGCCTATAAGCCCAGCACTTTGGGAGGCAGAGGAGAGAGGATTGCTTAAGGCCAAGAGTTTGAGACCAACCTGGGCAATATGGAGACCTCATCTCTGCAAAAAAAAAAAAAAAAAAAAGACTTGACTGTGGACCACCAGGGTAACTTCCCACCACTCCACCAATCTGGACAGTTCACACCATCCCCAAGCATGTTACAATAGTAAAATCTGTTCCTCTACAAAAAGAGGACCAAACCAAAATTAGATCAAGAATATAACCAAAGTTAGGAAGAAAATGTCTTTTGTTGATTAAAAAGAAGACAACAAAATCAACTGTTTTTCAAGAATGTATAGGCCGGGCACAGTGGCTCACGTCTGTAATTCTAGCACACTGGGAGGCCAAGGTGGGTGGATCATTTGAGCTCAGGAGTTCGAGACCAGCCTGAGCAAGAGTGAGACACCGCCTCTATTAAAAACAGAAAAAATTAGCCAGGCATGATGGCACATGCCTGTAGTCCCAGCTACTTGGGAGGCTGAGGCAGAAGGATTGCTTGAGCCCAAGAGTTTGAGGTTGCTGTGAGCTAGGCTGATGCCATGGCACTCTAGCCGGGGCAACAGAGTGAGAAAAAAAAAAAAAAAAAAGGATGTATAGAGTATAGTATTGGACATTCCACTGCTTGCTTTAGTGACATTCCTATCCAATCGAGATGTTATCTTGTACAGTTTCTCATAATGGCGATGTTCTACCGGGGAACATGATAAATTTTCTCCATTTTTAAAAGCAAATATCAAATATTCACATGTGGGGTTTCCAACAAGGAATATTCTTCTAGTATTTAATACCAATATTTAAGAGTCCATAAGAAAGAGTTTTACAAATATTTTCATTATAGAAAAAATTTTAAATGTATCTCTGCTGTTAAACATAAAAAAATGAACACCACAAGAAATAAAATTAAAGTCTTCTCACAGCCTATTTTGTTCTTGTTTCTAAAGGATGATCTCTTTTTTCTTTTTCTTTAAGCTATTTATTTGGCAGTATCAATCAAATCCTACACTAAGAGGTTTTAAGTTTCTATCATACCTTCTTTCTATCATATTAGCAGAGGTGTGATTTTTCACTTGAGAAAATAAACACAATCAAGTTCTGTGTCTAAGTCATAGATCCCCATGAATTCCTAACACTTTAACTGCAATTCAATATTTATTCTGCACCCATGGGGTAATTAATAAACCAGGTGCTAATGTAGCAATGTAGACCAACAAGACCCTCATTCCCAAAGAACTCAAGCTATCTTCAGTAAAGGACCAGTTGCTGCTTGTTTTTTTATTTTTTTTAATTTGCATTCAATGTGGACCAACCATTTTTAAGATAATTAAAATAAGTTTCCAGAAAAAAGTGGCACAAAATAAAATCCCAAATATTTTAATATTAGAGTCAATAGACATAAAATTATTCTGTCAGATTGCCACACAACTTTCTACACACTTAGTCTTCTTTATCTCAATTTTAGCAGTCCCAGAACCACACTTTAAGAAGTATTGTTATAAACTACCACAGTTTGAAAGGTATTGCTAAATCTAAGGCTGTGCTTCATTCTTGAAGGGAAGAGATTTTTTATATTTTTACTTACTCATATCTTTTTTCACACACCTTCTTCACAGTTTAGAATCTAAGCAAACCATCCTAGCCGCCTGCCACTCACGGCAATTGTGTTTCACCTTCAAGATTCTTAACTTCATTTCTAAAAAACTAATGATTTGCCCAAAATTATACAGCAACTGTGAAATTCTGCATTTTCTAATAACTTATTTCTCCCTTTGGTTCCAAATATCCCAATTCCTTTTTTTTAAAATCACTGCTTAAAACAAAAGTAATTTGTGTCTAGAATTATAAAGAAGACAGTAAAAAGTATCAGTCTTTGGAATAAAGACTCATAAAAAGACAAGCAGCATCCAGTTGCTGAAGGACAGTGTGTGCTTTTCAACTCCTTTCAGGTTGTGGTAGGGACAGAACCCTACCCCAAGCCAGTGGGCAGCGTTCCCACACAGCTAGCCAGAGAAGGGACCAGGGAGCTGCTGCAGTCCCAGCCCACTGTTTTGGTCCTGAAACCTGAATGGAAATCTTATGTTTCCTCAAAACAAATACTCAAAGCAGGCATTGCTTACTTGTACCCCAGCTTGACCTGCTCCTCTGCAGCTGCTATGAAGAAAAACATCTAAGGGGATTGAACAAAGCGTGAGATGCTGAGAAAAAGGGGAGATCAGTGCTTCTGGGAATAGTTTAGGTAACTGATGGATCCCGTCCTCCCTCTCACTTCTAACATAAAGAGATGTTGGTATTGGAAAAGGAGTAAATAAGAACGCCATCTCCAATAAACATTATTTCTGTGCGTTGACAATTGTGTAGATATCAATGCTTCATTAAAGTGAGAACAGAAAAATACCAATTTGTTGGCCGCTGACCAACATGATCAACAGTTCAGTGCTTCACTAAAGATCAACTAATGACTTGGTAGGTTTCTCAAACCAGAAAAAAGATATGACACCTCAAAGAGGCAAAGAAGAAAAGATAACAACACAACATTCAAAACTTTCCCAATACCTCCAATATCCATAAAAATCAGGTGCTCATTTTGGGAAGCAACACTTTGAGGAGCTGTTAATAATGATGATAACTGAAGAAAAGACACTAAATTTAAATTCTATCAGAACGTGAAAAATTAAAATGTAAATAAAGAGCTGGGTGGTCTATTAAGGAAGTGCAGGAAAAACTAAGCAAGTCACAAACCACGTTGTGGCCGGATACGCCCAGCCTGCTCAGTCCTGCCCTGGGAGTCACCTCAGTCCCACCCAGGTAAAGTAGGAGGTGGATCCCCAGGTGAAGCCAGCAAGCAAGCAAGCGAGCGGCCCGGGTCACGCACCGGGCCTCTCGTGCCCTCAGCCTGTGCAGGAGGTGCGCGCAGGGTTCAGCCCGAGCCACATAAGGAATGCTGAGGGTCTGGCCGGTCCTCGCGCGCCACTCAGAACCGAGGGCTCGCCGGTGCCGCAGGTGGCCGCGCTCCGGCAGGAGGCGGGGAGTGGACCCGCCCGCTCGCCTCCCTCCGCGGATCCCAGCTGCCCCGCGAGACCCAGACCCGCGCCCCGACCCAGCTCCCCAGTCACCTTCTGCACGGAGGAGCCACGGAGCCGCGCTGCTAGATCATAGACGTGGCAGCGGAGCACAGAGCTGCCCACGTCCAGCCCCAGCACGAAGCCGGCGCGCCTCGGCTCCCGCGCGCTCTGCTCCGGGCGCCCCTGCTCCAGGTCGGTAGGCAGCTCCGACATCCCTACCCTGCACGCCTCCTGGCCGCAGCCGCCTACCCAGCCCGCGCGCTATAAAGGCGGCCCTCTAAGGGCCCCAGGGCACCTCAAGGGCCCCCGCCAGCCCCGCCGGGCCGCCGCCCCGGTCCCGCCCCGGCCCGGCCCGGCCCCTCGGCGAGATCCGGAGGCGGTCCGGCTCTGCCGCAGGCCCCGCCCGGCGCCGTGACGTCACGCCCGCGCGCCGGACGCCCGCGCGGGGCGGGTGGAGGCGAGCGCGCTTTGCAGTGGTGCGCTGGGGCACCGGTTCGCCGCTCTGCTAGGCCTGCCTAGGTCTGCAAATGCCTCTAGCGTTTAGAATTGTCTTGGCCCGTAATTCTAGTTGTGTCTCTCACATCCCCTTGCTTTCTGAGCGTCTGCGTTTCTTTTAACCCTGGCTACATTTTAGGGATCTCTCTTAAGAAAAATAGCTACCCCTTATGCTAGTTATGAGGAGAAAATGGATAGGCTAGTTTATATGAAAATTTCCAAAAGTTTAAGATCACCATAATGCACATGTATTAACTTCTTACCTGTGATTATGACTTGAAAGCTGGAGGAATTTTTATTTAACCTCTGACTAACTGTGGCAAACTAAGCTTGTGTCTGTGCATTCATGCAGTCTTTCAAAGCTTAAAACATTTATTATGGAGGTCGCAAAACATATGTAGTTTGGTTTTTTGTCGTTGTTGTCGTTGTTGTTTTTGAGACAGAGTCTCACTCTCTAACCCAGGCTAGAGTGTAGTGGCTCAGCCTATCTCACAACAACATCAAGCTCCTGGGCTCAAGCGCTCCTCCTGCCTCAGCCTCCCAGGTAACTGGGACTACATGCACTCAACACCAAGCCCAGCTAATTATTTATATTTTTGATAGAGACAGGGTCTCACTCTTGCTCAGGCTGGTCTCAAACTCCTGAACTCAAGCAATCCTCCTGCCTTGGCCTCCCAGAGTGCTAGGATTACAGGCGTGAGCCACCCCGCCTGGCTGATTTTTGTTTTTTGTTGACACTTGGGGTGCAATTTTATTCAGTGTTGCAAAAATGCACATCCACTATCTTAGATGAAATAAAGCAATATTTTCCAAAAATGACATGAAAAATTCAAAATTCAACCAAGAATATAATACACCAGGAGTTCCCAAAGGCATTTCTCCCCATAAAACCTGATAAAGTTTGCTCTAAGGCTGGATGCAGTTCCTTTGGCTACCTGGCTATTGCCACTAATAGAACCCGTTGTCATCATCTGCCTAATCTTTCTCTTTGCTCCTTGTCTTTTATAATTCCTCCAGTGCTACCTTCAAGAGCTGTCACAAGTGGCAGTAAACCAACTACTTATTCATCTGTACTTCCCCCTACCAGTCACCCCTCCCCCTGCTAGCAGGAAGTAGTCAGAAAAAGCGGCACCCATCATAACCAAAAGGCCAGAATCTAATGCTGGTGATGGCTCCCCTCCCCTCACCAGATCAAAAAGAAAAAGCTCAAGAGACCAGACCCTCCAAGGACAACTGCCAGGCCCCACTGAAAACAACAACACCTGGATGTCCACCCAGATAAGAAAGTGTTTGGTTCCCGGATTACACAAATACCGCCAGCCCTTCCTATTTCTCAATGACCACCGAAGGTCACAGTAAAAAAAATCCCCAGCTCTTCCCACCAAAAGTCCCTAGCCCACCCCAAACAGTATAAAGGCCTGCACCCCGTCCAAATGCATGAGACTTCTGGGGCCCCCTTTCTTGGGACCCTCGAACCTTGCCTGGGAGCGCTCAATAAATCCATGTTGTTTGGCCCCGCTCTCTCTCTCTGTCTGTCTTGTCTTTTCACCACCGCCAAAAACCTTACATATGGTGCCAAAACCCAGGAGGGGAGTCTTGGTCACGTGGCCTGCCTCAGGGCTGTGGTTGCACGGTCTCTCACGTCTTCCTGACCTCAGACCGGGACCTCCACCAGACGCCAGTCGACTAATCGCCCTGGGTAAGTCCCTCTGCCCTTATGGTCCTAGCCCAATGTGGCCATTCCAGGGTCTTTGTCCTTAAAACCTTGAGCCCAAGTCAGAGATCCTCCACCATAAGGACCTGAGTGTCTCAGGGATGTCTGAGCCCCTCAGTCAGTCCTTCCATCCATAAGGCCCTGAGTGCCTCGGGGACGCCTGATCCACTCCACTAAGTCTGTCCTTCCCAAGGCTCAGAGCCTTCTCTCCAAGGCCTGATCGGTGACCTGGGACACTGGTTTCCAGATCCCGTCCTTCCCTCATTGGACTAGGACACCATGGGCAGTCAACCCTCCAAAATCAAATCTAGCACGCCTCTGAGCTGTCTCTTAGCCAATCTTACAGCCCTGGGCCTCAAGCCTGATATTTGACTAAAGCGACTCATTTTCTGTTGTAACACTGCCTGGCCAATGTACAAATTAGACAATGGGTCACAGTGGCCTAAAAATGGGACTTTCAATTTCAACATATTATAAGATCTCAATAACTTTTGTCACCAAAATGGCAAATGGGGGGCCTTATGTCCAGACTTTCTTCTACCTGCGCTCCTGTTCTTCCCTCTGTCAGACCTGTGACCTGTCACAGAGCCTCCTTGCTCAGAGTCCTCAGCCATCCTTGGCCTCTTCTACCTCTCAGCCGAAGGACCCATTAGAAACCTCTTCCGCCTTCTCTGACCCGCCTAACTCCCTTACCTCTCCCTTGCTCAGCCTCCACCATATCTGGGTCCTCTTCCTCCTCCTAGTGTCCCATTGTCCTCTGCTACCACTCTCGCTGGCTCTCCACCAACGTCCCCTGTCAGTCACCACACTCGATCCCACATGCGACCCTCAGACCAACCCCTTCTCTGTCCCCTGAGAGGGGTAGCCAATCCCAAAGGGGCATGTGTGTCCATGTTCCCTTTTCCCTTTCTGATCTCTCTCAGATTGAAAAGCGTTTAGGCTCCTTTTCTAGCTACCCCACAGCCTACACCAAAGAGTTCCGCCATCTTACACAAACATATGATTTGATCTGGCATGACATTTTTGTTATTCTGTCTTCTACCCTTACCACTGAGGAAAAGGAATGCGTCTGGGCTGCGGCTCAGGGACACGCTGACCAAGTTCACCTTACAGACAAGGAAGCTCCCCGCCAAGAGCCAGGGTGCGAACATCAACCTACTACCCAGGCCGGGTGAGTTGGAAGAAATTGCCGAGACTGCATGTTACAGTGCCTTTTCACTGGGCTTCACGCGGCTGCCCACCCATCAGTAAATTATGACAAGCTTAGAGTAATCATTCAGAAGCCAGATTAAAAATCCCTCAGCCTTTCTCACCCGGCTTATGGATGCTCTCATCCAATATACCCGCTTAGACCCTACTTTCCCAGCAGGGGCCACCGTCCTTGCAACTCACTTTATCACCCAGTCCTCCTCTGACATCATACGCTAACTTAAAAAGGCAGAAGAAGGCCATCAGACCCCCATGCGAGTCCTGCTGAACATGGCATTTAAAATCTTTAACTCCCGTGATGAACAGGCAGAGGCCCAAAGGGAGGCGTGGGTCCACCAAAAGGCACACCTGCAAGCCCAAGCCTTGGTTGCAGCCCTGCGGCCGGTGGGGCCCGAAAAGCCATCGACAAAGCAACCAGCCGAACTCCGCCGAGCACCTGCTTCAAGTGCGGTAAGGAAGGCCACTGGGCCAACCGGTGCCCGCAGCCACGTCAGCCCACTAAGCCTTGTCCGGCCTGTGGTCAAGAGGAACACTGGAAGAGTGATTTCCCCTTGGGACGAACGTCCAGAGGGTCAGTCCTTCCACCCCCAGACCTGCTGTTGACGATTTTGGGCTTGGCGGCAGAAGTCTGACGAAGCCCTGGCTCGGTGACCCCCATCACCCTTGCCAAGCCCAGAGTAACAATCAAGGTAGCGGGTAAGACAGTGTCCTTTCTGGTCGACACGGGGGCTACCTACTCTGTCCTACCTTCATTTTCAGGCCCTACTTATCCTTCCCAGGTGTCGGTTATGGGTATTGATGGCAGTCCTTCATGGCCTCCTACTACTGGTCCTCTGACACGTCTTATAGACGACTGTCCCATCACCCACTCCTTCCTTATCATGCCCTCCTGTCCTGTTCCACTTTTAGGAAGAGACTTACTAGCCAAATTAGGCACCATACTCCACTTTTCCTCAGGAACATCCGCCTTTCTCTTTCTGTCCCTCTCTTCAGATCCCTCACCCCCACCTTTCGCCTCTCCTGAGACCTGCCCTCTCCCACCTGAACTTGTAGACCCTTGGGTTTGGGACACCTTTACCCCAGTAGTGGCCACACACCACACCCCTGTCCTCATTCGACTCAAAGACCCTTCATCCTTCCCTTCCTGCCCCCAGTTCCCTATTTCACTGACCCACCTCAGAGGTCTAAAACCCATTATAGAACATCTTCTGCGTGAAAAACTTTTAATCACAACTAATTCTCCCTATAACACACCCATTCTCTCAGTAAAGAAGCTGAACAGGTCCTACCGGCTGGTCAGGGACCTGAGGCTCTTTAAGGAAGCTGTTATCCCCATACACCCTGTAGTGCCTAATCCCTGCACTTTACTTTCTCATATTCCACCCTCCACTGCCCACTTTTCTGTTCTGGACCTAAAAGGTGCCTTTTTTACTATCCTCTTAGACCCAGCCAGTTACAATCTCTTTGCCTTTATGTGGGAAGATCCTGACACAAACACATCTAGACAACTAACTTGGACCGTCCTGCCCCAGGGGTTTCGGGACAGCTCCCACCTATTTGGTCAGGCACTGTCCCAGGACCTACTCCAATGTCCCTTACAGCCTAGCACTGTTCTCCAATATGTTGATGATCTACTGCTCTGTAGCCCCTCTTTATAGCACTCTAAGACCCACACTGCCTCTCTACTTAACTTCCTTGCTTCCAAGGGCTATCAAGTGTCCCCCTCCAAGGTCCAGCTGTCTGAGCCCACAGTCACTTACCTTGAGCTTTGTCTCACCCCCATGTCCCAGGATCTCACTGTTGACCACAAACAGGCTGTTCACGATCTCCAACCACCCATGACCGCTGAACAGATTCTATCCTTCCTTGGATTTGTTGGTTTCTTCTAACACTGGATCCCCTACTTCTGTCTCCTTGCTAAACCCCTCTATGAGGCAGCCTGTGATGCCTATGCTGGCCCTTTACTAAACCCCCAAGCTGTCTGCCATGCGTTTCTGAAGCTTTGTGACACTCTACTCCAGGCACCACCTCTAAGACTCCCTCATCCTGAAAAACCCTTTTACCTCTACACAGACGAGTACCAGGGCCTGGGCCTCAGTGCCCTTGCCCAGCCTTTAGGCTTCTGGAACCTGCCCACCTGTACTCCAGTGGCTTATTTATTCAAACAACTAGACACCACAGTCTGTGGCTGGCCGCCTTGCCTTAGGGCACTGGGCTTGGCAGCCTCTCTTGCCAAGGAAACACTAAAGCTTTCCCTAGGACAGGTTCTACATGTCTTTTCTACCCATCCTCTCAAGATCTCATAACTCACTGCTCGTTGGCGCTCCTCACTCCCTCTAGATTACAGGAATTCTACCTCCTAGTCATAGAAAATCCCAACATTACCCTAACACAGTCTCCTACTTTAAACCCTACTACTTTGCTGCCCATCCTGTCCTTAACCCTCTCCTCTCACTTCTGCCCTGAGACAGTCCATGCTGCCACCACCTCTAGGCCCGACCTCTCGGACCAACCCCTCTCAGATGCAGACTTAACACTGTTTGTTGATGGCAGCTCGTTCGTGGGAGATGACGTGGGAGATGACGACGGCAAGTGCTGGGCAGCCTATGCCCTTGTCTCAGCCTCTCGGGTTATAGAGGCTTCTCCCCTCCCTGAGGGCACCACTTCCCAGAAGGCAGAACTGATTGCCCTTACTCAAGCCTTATCTATACTGAGTCCAAATATGCTTTTATGATAGCTCACTGCCACACTGCCATATGGAGAGAACGAGGCTTTCTCTCCACCAAGGGCTCCCCTGTTGTCAATGCCACTCTTATTTCCCGTCTCCTCAAGGCCCTTCAGCTGCCCACCCAACTGGCTATCATACACTGCAAGGGACACCAGACGGACGGGTCCCCTGTCACTAAGGCAAACAACTATGTCGATGCCGTGGCCTGCTGCCTCACTTCTCCACAACATCCACCCCAGGTCCTTGTTTCCCTGTCAAGGTGGTCCCTCAATTAACTCTATACGGTGAGTCTGAATTCAGATGGCTTCTCCCAAGGGCCCAGCCAGGATGAGCTATCTTTTTACCTATCATGGTGGGTCTCAGCTTGGACTCTTCCATTGCGGCCTCAGGGCTCGTGGGAGGTGCCCTGGGCCACAAAGTCATTTCTGCCCAAGATTTTGCAGATCGTCTACAAGTCGCCCTAGAAACCACTTCTGCCTCACCGGCCTCACTACAAAGACAACTAATGTCGCTGGTTTAGGTTACTCTCCAAAATCGTCATGAATCTGCTGACGGCCAAAAAAGGAGGAACCTGCCTTTTCCTTCGTGAAGAATGCTGCTACTATGTCAACGAATCGGGCCTTGTAGAACAGAACATAGACAAACTCACTAACCTGAGTGAAGACCTATACAACTGCCGCCGCCAGCATGTATCCCCCTTCGGCTGGATACAGTCTCCTTTGGCTACCTGGCTATTGCCACTAATAGGACCCATTGTCATCATCTGCCTAATCTTTCTCTTTGCTATAATTCCTCCAGCACCGCCTACAAGAGCTGTCATGAGTGGCAGTAAACCAACTACTTCTTCATCTGTACTTCCCCCTACCAGTCACCCCTCCCCCTGCTAGCAGGAAGTAGTCAGAAAGAGCGGCACCCATCATAACCAAAAGGCCAGAATGTAAGGCTGGTGGCTGCCCCCCTCCCTCATTAGATCAAAAAGAAAAAGCTCACGAGACCAGACCTTCCAAGGACAACTGCAAGGCCCCACTGAAAACAACACCACCTGGATATCCACTCAGATAAGAAAGTTTTCAGTTCCTGGATTACGCAAATACTGCCAGCCCCTCCTATTTCTCAATGACCACCGAAGGTCAGAGTGGAAAATCCCCAGCTCTTCCCACCAAAAGTCCCTAGCCCACCCCAAACAGTATAAGGGCCCGCACCCCCTCCAAACGGATGGGATTTCTCGGGCCCCTCTCTCTTGGGACCTTCCAACCTTGCCCGGGAGCGCTCAATAAAGCCACATTGTTTGACCCCACTCTCTATCTGTCTGTCTTTTCTTTTCGCCACTGCCAAAAACCTGACATTTGCAAATATAGTGCAAATCAATATTTGCTAAATGAAATAGGATACAACCAGCAAGACCTTCACAAGGAGCAAGGTCTTCCCCAACCCTCTGGTAAGAAAGAAAGGACAAAGGTTAGGGTGGCTGTTTTGCAATCACACTCTACCCCAGCGGGTTGCTGTTTTGGAAATCTGAAAGCCTCACAGAGGCCCTTTACCTTTTGTTTCTGCCCACAGACAATGGGCTCTTCCTGGCACTTGGCAAAAAGCGACAAGAAGGGGGCCTGTGGAAATTTCATGATTCTTGTGGCTCAGGTTCACCAGCCTCCGGCCCACTGGCCTTCCCAGGGGAGGGTCCGGATCTGTAGGGATTGGAGAGGTCGTAATGCCTGCTCCACCCACCTCTCCACTGCCACTGGCACTAGTGTAAAGGCAGTGCCTGAAAATATTAGTTATCATCTTTTTGTAAAATTATCAAAGTAATACGAGTATGTGCATTTGTGAAATATTTAACAGTGCAAAGTAGTATATCAATTAAAAAGTAAAGGATATTCATTTTGAATCAAATCATCTTTTGGTCAATTTGTCCTGTTAACCAACTTGCTTTCAGCCAATTTGACCAAATTGGTTTTTTGGCCATATAACTTGAAGCTTGGAATATACACCTGGAAGAGTTTGTTTTTTCTCTTTGTACCCTGTCCCTACCCAGCACTACTCATTTGTTCCAAATGGCCTCAGGACTGCCTTTGCCAGTGCTGACCATTTTGGTCAGGTAGCGGGATGTGTGTGTGTATGTGTGTGTGTCTTTGTGTGTGTGTGTGTTAATTACCATTATTGTAATTTGAAATAAATGACTAATGGGTCACATACTGGTCAGGGTTCTCCAGAGAAGTAGAACCAATAGGATAAAGAGAAAAAGAAAGATTTATTTTAAGGAATTGGTCCACATGTTTGTGGGGGCTGGCAAGTTCTGGAAATTTGTAGGGAAGGGTAGCAGGGTGGAAATTCAGGCAGAGTTTCTGTGTTGAAGTTTTGAGGAGAATTCCTTCTTTGAGAAACCTTATTCTTTGCTCTTAAGGCTTGAAACCAATTCGATGAGGCTCACCCACATTTAAGGAGGGTAATCTGCTCTACTCAAAGTTCTACTGATTTATTAAATTTTTAATTTTTAAAATTTTTTTAACAATTTAATTTACTTGCTTTGTTTCCTATAGAGGATATTTGAATTCAGCTGGAAGTTCTACTGATTTAAATGTTAAACACATCTAAAATATACCTTCACAGTAACACCTAGACCGTGTTTGACCAAACAATGGGACACACACACAATGTGCCTAACTAGCCTAGCCAAGTTGCATAAAAGCAACTATATCAGTCCCCCATTTGCAACAGAGAAAATTGTTGTTTTACCTGATGTTAGTATTTAGCATAATTCCCCTGCACTTGGCATGGGATGGCTGTGGTTTTGGCTATGAGTTCCCAGAAAGGCAACATGGCTTCCTCCAGGCCTAAGAAGCATCAGAATACATTTAACTTCAAAAATCACAAGTTTGGTAAGAGTATTCAGACCCAGAAAATTAACGCAAAACTTGATGGAGTATGTCAGCACTGTAAAGAAGTTTTGTTTTTTTTATTGAGACAGAGTCTCGCTTTGTTGCCCAGGCTAGAGTGAGTGCCATGGCGTCAGCCTAGCTCACAGCAACCTCAAACTCCTGGCCTCAAGCAATCCTCCTGCCTCAGCCTCCCGAGTAGCTGGGACAACAGGCATGCGCCACCATGCCCGGCTAATTTTTTTTTTCTCTATATATTAGTTGGCCAATTAATTTCTTTCTATTTATAGTAGAGATGGGGTCTTGCTCTTGCTCAGGCTGGTTTCAAACTCCTGACCTCGAGAGATCCACCTGCCTCGGCCTCCCAGAGTGCTAGGATTATAGGCATGAGCCACTGCGCCCGGCCAAAACCAATTATCTGGAGTTTTATCAAAATCATAGAATGCGAAAACAGAGACTTTAGAAACCACTTAGTCTAGTGTTTCTTAAACTGTTTTCAGATCTTAAACAACTCTTTAGAGCCCGTGATGAATGCTATTTCCCCAAAAGGTGCTTATATACACAAAATTTTGCACGTAACTTCAGGTGCTGGGTGTTGGGTAAACTAAACATGAAGATCTGAGATTTAAAATCCAGAGCTGACTTCCCTAACCCAACAGACTATTGCCTTGGGGGAACAAAGGAACACTGTGTTTCTTCCACGTTCTTCGTTCCCTGCCAGCACCTTTCACCCTGCTGTGCCGGAAGGAAAGGAGAGCGTGGGCAGCAGGCACGTGGCTCAGAGGCTTCCAAGGCCCTTTTGTGAGTGTGTAAATCCATTGTTCTGGATTCAGAGGCCACTACTGTTGCATGTTCCATCTCTGGTGGCCTTTACCCTCACCTGTCCCGCCTGCTCTTTCTCCTCAGATGGTGGGCACGGCTGCTCTCCCAGGCTCTTGCCCCACCACTGTCCCTTCTGACACATTCTCCTCTCACAGCAGGCCCAGGATCGCACATCCCCGCACCAGCCTCCCACACTCTCAAGAGATTTGGATGCAGTTCCTCAGGGCTAGACCAGAAAGCAGGTGAAGGTCACCGCTCCCTGTCACACCCCAAAGGGAAATGAATGGTGCCTCAGTACTGAGCCCAGAGACCTCAATGCACTTCTTCCTCCAAAGAAACTAGTCAGTCTCCCTCTCTCCTAGGGTGACCAAAAATTCTGGATTTCTGATGACTGAGGAATATTTTGGAACACAGGACTTTCATTGTTAAAACCAGGAATGGTGCAGGGCAAACTGGGGCAATTGGTCATCCTACTCCTTTTAGAAGCTGCACCAGCAAGCATGCTCCCGTCTTTGAGCAAGGTCGCCTACCACTGCCCTGTGGCCTAATCATCTCACAGCATTCTCCTCACTTCTCTGCCCAGAGGGTCTTGGGTTCTGCAGGTAAGTTCCTTTGGGGAATCTGGCTACATGATGTTTAGATGTCAGTTGTTGGTTGTAGACAGTGAGCTCCCTGGGAGCAGGAACAGGACCTTAGTCTTTTATCATCCAGGCACAGAAAATGACTATTCAATGACTGGATTAACAGGCACTGACTGGGTTTGGGTTTTCACCCCATGCTGCGGCTGGGAGACCTGAAGCTGACGCCATGACACTTGAATTAGGTTTAGCAGAAGAGAAATGGAGGAGCCATAGAACTTTTAGGATGAATTCAGGAAGGCCTGAGACCATGGAAAACTTGCCTGCTCTCTACACTATTTTCCAAGGAGAGGTTGCTATGGTGACACTATGGAGCATTTATCAAAATCCCAGGCTGTCGGAAGCAATGTCTGGAACATCAAACTCATATGTCAACATGTTGGGTGGATAAGCCCTCTGAAATAGTAGATGTCCGAGACAAAGTGCAGGTGAAGCCTATTGGCCGGCTGAGAGACGAAAAATAATAGGATAAAAGTATCCCTCTCCATGAAAGTTGTCAACCAAGGGACTGGGGAAGACCTTGATCCCAACAACGTTACCATTGAGCAAGAAGAGAGGAGGAGGTGTTCCTTCCAAGATCTTTTACCACTGGGTAAAAGATCACCCTCAAGGCTGTCCTGAACACTACCTGCGAGAAGTGTGGCTGTAAAGGCCACTTTGCAAAAGATTGCTTCATGCAAAACCGGTGGAACCAAATACTCTCTGATACCTGATGAGGAAGAGGAGAAGGAAGAAGCAAAGTAAGCAGAGTTTGAGAAGCCTGACCCCATGAAGAATTCTTCTAGAAAAAGAAAGAAGGAAAAGAAGAAAAAGAAACAGGAGATAGGAAGTCATCTGACTCTGACAGCTCAGACTCTGAGAGTGATACAGGCAAGAGGGCAAGGCACACATCAGAAGACAGCAGGCAGCAAAGAAAAAGAAAAAGAAGAAGCACAAGGAGTGAGAGTAGCAAGAGTGCAGAGGGTGGTTGAGAGCAGGAACCAGGGGCCGTGTGCCTTGGAGCCCTGGCTCCTAGAAAGACTCCACAGTGAGAATATGGCTTCCCACCCCACTGAGTTTACGCCCATGGGAGATGCGTCCCCTCGTGCAACAGGCAGGTTTGGGAGTTAGAGGTCACAAGTAGCTGCCTGAATGAGTTGTTGCTTCCTTATCACTCCTGGTCCTTTTGCAAGTGAGCCCTGCAGCTCACACCTTCCTTCATTCAGCAGGAGGTCCTATTACCCTCTCCAGCGGCCACTGCCAGAGCCAGATTCCTGCACGGGAGTCCAGGCTAGCGCCGCAGGGACTGCTGTGTTGGTAAGTCTGGCTGTAGTTAGAGAACAGGGTGACTGGCCCCTTCTAGTGGTCTGTTTGGGCTGACTGGTGGGTGATCTCTGCTGCATCCAACATGGGGGCAGGGAGACTGGCAGCCAGAGGGAGAGAGTGTTAAGAAGTGGTGCTCACACACACAAAAAAAGAAGTGGTGCTCACTCTTTCCATCCCCCAACATGGTTCTGTGCTAGAAGGGACAGCCAGTGGCCACGGCCAGAAAACGATCATTTGCCGTGTGACTTAGCTAGTGTATGACATTCCAGCGGACCACTGTACTTGACAGCTGAAACCAAGATCATTGTTCCACTTTGTATTTACTACTGTGTGAGTCAGTTGATTCCACTTCAGGTCCCTGCTTAAATTCCGGGCACTAAAAAAAAAAAGACTGAATAAACAAAAATAAACTAGTACGTGCAAATCCCTACCAGACCTCATCTTCTGCCTGACTAGGCCATACAGAGGGTGCTGAGCTCTTCCTAATCTAGGCATTAATCTGGGCCTATCATCATCTGACCACCGGTGCAGACAGTCTCATCCGTGTGGGAGGCCTGGCGTTGAGCTGGTATCCTGAGTAACCACACGCACATCAAGTT